CGAACACCATGGAAACACTATGTAAATAGTTGTTAGATGATGCAGCCTGGGGAATAAAGACAACAAACATCTATGCTCAGTACAGACACCACTTGCCTTTCAAATCTTCTTGATTCCCTGGTGGTCTGATCTGTGGATATAAAACCTACAGTGATAGAGAGTCGTCTGTGTAAATCCCCTGAGGTGTGGGACATTTTTTTCTCTGTCCCTTGTTGGCTTTTGATCTGGTTATAGGGTGAGAATGAGACCTGAGGGTGATATTCTGAACACCCAAGCCCAGTGGGACCCATTCTGCCGGGTACAAGTTCTTTCTTAATTACCATGTAGGGCCGGGCCTGCACAGTCACCTGCCCTTGACCAGTGTGTTGGGAGTTAAGCAGACTAGACCATGCCAGTACTTCTCAGTGTTCAGGGATGGCTTGGGGTGGCCAATCCTCAGATGGCTTTGATGGAAAAAGCATTATGGTGGGTGCTATGCCCAGGTAGAAAAGGCCTCCAGCTAAAGCCGAACATGTCATCAGAGCCACAGTTTGGCAGATTGCTCCCGTAAGTCCTGTAGAGATCTGGAGCTGGCTAGGATAGGAAGCATGCCCTGGGGGAGGGGTGGACTCTCAAGCTCCTGGTTCTCAGGTAAATAGGGATTTGAACCAGGAGAGGGTACCATTTTGCTGTATGTGGTACACTGAGACTGCATGGCACCCAGGGCCCACCTATGATGCCCCTTGTAATGGAATCTGTTGCTGCAGGACCATTAGATATATAGATGGTGATTCAGAGGGTGTCTTTCTCCATCACCAGTGGACTGTGGTGTGCAGGCTCTAATTCTGTGAGAGAAAGATTTACAGAGTACCTGGGCTCTGGAGAACACAGGGCACAGAGACAAGGTATGGGTTGATGCCAAGGAAGATTGGTAGCTCTGACCAAGCCTAGCTGTCCACCTTTATCTGTCTTTCCCTCATTTGCTCACGCGAGCAGCCTTGAGACGGACAGGGCAGTCCTCCCCTCCTCCGGCTTCTTTCCTTCCACCTCTGATGCATTTGCTCGATGCGCACACTCTCCCAGGTGGTGGAAGGTCAGAAATGATTGCACATTCACGAGGTAGGGGCAGGAGCCTCTGTGAGGCTGGGTGAGTTGCTCAGGTGACTCAGTGGGCCCAGTTTGGGTTCTATAATTTGACTCTTCTAGACTCCAGGTCTCTTAATGGGCAGATGAGAGCAGCCACATTGTCTCTGGGGGAATGGTTAAGTTAATTCATGTGAAACTGCTCTTCAAGCTGCTTTTCAGATGTTGATAATTTACTAGTATAGTTAGGACTGGTTTGCAGCTCTTTGGTCTTTTAAACCAATGCCCTTGTTTTGTTTGTTCGTTTATTTGTTTTTAATTGTTTATTCATCTACCCACCCATGTGAGAAGTTTAGAATGTCTGTGGAGAGTCTAGTGCTCGGCCAGATAATGGAAGCGGGAAGCTGAGATAGGCAACTTGGAGAGGGGGTCATGGGCTGATGCCTACGGGGCACAGAGGTGACAGTGGTGACTCCAAGTGTCACCAAACAGGAGACTAAGCCAAGGACATGGAGAGAGGGGTTCTGGTGTGGTTACAGCGACAGATTTGGGGGTTTCATGACTCACAATCCATTTCCTGTCCTGGGGAGTGCAACCTTACTGCTCACTTTTCTGTGGGACAGAATTAGCTCTTGGAGGAGCAGGATGGCTCATGCCTATAATGCAGCACTTAGGAAGCTGAAGCAGGAGATTTCTTGTAAGTTTGAGGCTAGTGCAGGATACATAGTTCCAGGTCAGCCTGGGCTACACTATGAGACCCTATCTAAAAAACAAAGTAGTAAGTAAATAAAAATAAATAGATAATTAAAATAAAATTAAATGGCAGACCATGAACTTATGGCGTCTTATGGCGCCATCTGATTTGATGGATACATTGAAATCCCAAATCAGGTTAGGCTGGCCTAATTTACTTTGTAATAACCACTCAAATAAAAAAGGGAAAAAATCCCATTAAAAGCAGCAACAACTGAATTCTGGTTGTCTAATTTTCCAACTGAAGCCACAGGGTAAAAGCTCCCAAGTTAGAACCTATGGCTCCCTGTGGAACATTTAGCTATGATTAATCACTGTAAATTTTATGAGCCAGGGTCCTGTCACAGCTAGTCGAACAAACTTTCCATCATACTTATGGCCTGGAAACACAGCTCCAGATAGTGACCTCAAAGCCACCTTGAGCTGATGCTGCCCTGGTGATGTGGGGTCCAGACTGGACAAGGGGATCTGCAGCCTAGCCGTTCTGAGCCTTGAGGACACTAGCTTCTACCCCTCAAAAAGCCTGTCTGTGGAGAAGGAAAATAGAGCTTTGTATGCTTATACAGTCCTGTGAGCCAGCCTCATGCTCTATGTGAGCCAGATAGGAAGACAGCTTAGATAGAACACAGATAGATAGATAGATAGATAGATAGATAGATAGATAGATAGATGATAGATAGATAGATAGAACTCAGATAGATAGATAGACAGAATGATAGAACACAGATTGATAGATAGATGATAGATAGATAGAATGATAGAACACAGATAGATAGATAGATACATAGATGATAGATAGATAGATAGATAGAACACAGATAGATAGATAGATAGATAGATAGATAGATAGATAGATAGATAGATAGACAGATAGATAATACATATATTACATACATGCATACATGGGTGATGGTTAATTTTGCTGTCAACTTGACCTAGGAGATAATCTCTGGGCATGCCTATGAGGGAGTTTCTATATTAGATTAATTGATGTGGAAAGAACCATCTTAACTATGGGCAGCACCATCCCACGGGCCAGGATCCAGGATTGAATAAAAAGAGAAAATCAACTAAAAACCAGTGTTCGTCTCTCTGATTCCCAACTGCAGATGCAGTGTAACCAGCTGCCTCACGTTCCTGCTGTCATGACTTCCTGTAAATGGACTATGTCCTCAAACTGTGAGCCAAAGATAAACCCTTTCTTCTTCGTTAAGTAGTCTCCTTCTTAGAGTATCTCCGAGGTCCTCCCAGCTGGAGCCTTGCATTAGGCACCCAGAGTGGGGCTATGGGATCCCAGGGGCAGAAGGGAGTCTTATCTAGGGCCAAATGGAGGCCGTGCCATATTACAAGAAGACAAAATGACCCAAAGCTGTACAGCTGCATATAAACATTAGATGTGCAAAGAAAATACAAAAAGGAAGGCTATTAGACAGTGTCAACTGTTGACAAAAATAAAACAAGCCAGGCTTTGCAAGCTGGTAGTTAGGCAGAAGGGCGTGAGCATGCTGGTTGGCTCTTTTTCAGAATGAGGAATAAAATGTGGATACTTTCAAAAGCCCTTGACTTTGTCCCCTTGTGAATTCTCAGAGTGTGCTATGGGGCCCTCCTCTTAGTTGAATTCTTTCTTCATGGTCTCAGGTTCCCCCCCCCCCGCCCCTGCCACAAAAAAAAAAAACACAAAAAAACAACAAAAAAAACCCCACAGGCTTAACACTTGCCTCTCCCACTTGTTCCAAAATTTTTGGAGAAGTCTGGCTTTACTTTGCTCTTCCTTCTTGGGGGGAGGGGCCACCAATGGTGAGCAGGAAGGGCACACAGGCCTCCATGGTGGGTGGTGAGGGTGGGTGGATGTGAGCAGTGTCTGACACCTTATAAAACTTGATTAAGCCTTGATTAACCAGGAAGTGAAGAGGGAGCGGCCATGAGGAGCTGCTGATGGTGCCCTTAACTGTGAAGACACGAGACAAAGGCCCTGGCCTCTGTGTCCTTGGCTACAGAGGAGCCTCCAGTCCAAATTAATTGCCTTGGATTCAAGACAGACATAATTTATTTGGTTTGTGACTCTGAGGTCTGGGCTTCTGTTCAGTTTTGTTAGTGTGATTTTTCCAGGGACTGTCACAGAAGGAGGGTTTCAGAGCATGACAGTGTGTGGCCTTGCAGCAGAGATGTTAAGAAGGGACCAGGCAATTGACACAACACTCTTCCGGTGTGACAGCAGACCCTAAGGTTCCCTTTTTTCTCCATCTGTGCATCAAAAAATACAAAAATTATGTGTCCTTCTGGGTCAACTGATCAAAAACTCAAGCTAATTCTCCTTCTGCAGTGGGATGGGAAGTCACTTCTCACCGGGGCTTTGCACCTTTCTCTTCTCCGTATATTGCTAAATAAGGAATGTATCTGCCATGTCTACCTTCTGTTGAGCCTCAGCTACAGACCAGGCACTTCCTAGGTGTTGTTTCATTTCCTTAATACAACCAGCCCCGACAGAGACCTCATGCTCTCTGGTATTCTTTAGGGAATTGGATGGGAATTGCATGGCCAAGTGATGTGTGTAAAATCAGACAGCTAATTAGAAGACCCAGCATTTAACCCTAGGTTTCTCTGTCTGCTGAGTCCATTGGTCTTGTCAAAACACCAATTTGCCTCCTTCACAGACACTAGATGGGCACCCACTGAGTACAGGACTGTGGCTGTGCGTAGATGCAAGAGTAATACGTGCAGTGTCCTTTGCTCAGTTTGGGCCTGTGTTGTCATGGTAACCTCACATAGAGCAGGGAGTGCACAGTAGGAGTGTTACAGTCCCATTCTATCAGACCTGGACTCGGTTTCTACTCCATCATCTCACCTTGAGACCTTAGTTTCCCTAGCTGTAAAAGAAGAGGTTGGTAATGATAATGTGCTTAGTTCTTAAGGCAGATTGCGTGACGTGGTGTATTCTGCAGGCTTAGCACAGAGTCAGGTGCATAGTAATTGTCCAGTACCTTTGATAAAGGACACACTCAAGTAGCTTTCAAAGACTTTCTCAGCATTTTCAGTGACTAAGTAAGTTCCTCTGCTGAAGGATAAGGTAAGTCACACCCTAAAAGCAGGATGAGAATGGGGCTCAAGACTCAGCAGCCCTGCAGCAAGGAGCCCAGGGTGCCTAGGGGTCCTCGCACAGCATGGCTTGGGTTCTTGTTTTCTAGTCATTACCATATTTAAGGGTAAAGTGGAGGAGGTGGAGCTGCCTGTGGAGAAAGTGGACATCATCATCAGCGAGTGGATGGGCTACTGTCTGTTCTATGAGTCCATGCTCAACACGGTGATCTTTGCCAGGGACAAGTGGCTGGTAAGTGGTCCGCATGCTGTCCCCGCACTGCCCTGGTGGCTGTCCTGCCACATTTCCCATAGCCTCCTGCCTGGGGGAAATATGAGAATTTCAGAGAGGAATGGGCTAGAAGATCACTCTCTCGAGGCCCTCTCTTCGAAGCACAGCTGCTTCAGGGCAGCAAGTGATCAGTCAACCCTGGTCCAACACGCTCAGCTGGAAGAATGTGTAACCATAGTAGGTCTAACTTTTCTCTCTGGCTAGAGCAGAAACCCATTTCCCCTTGTTAAGACTGCCGAAGAGCCAGGGGTCCTGTTTGCCATGGCTTCGCCGAGCCACGGGCTGATGCTCCGTCCCTTCTTTATTTACCTTCTGCCTTTCACTTGTCCCGTCAGCTCTGCCTGGGCTCCTCAGATTCCCCCTGCTTCAAATAAACAGAGTGTTACTGCCATGTCCAGCCAAGCTGTCAGTCCACTGAGTCAGAGATGCTGGCAAGGGGGTGCTTGTCTGGTGACTCTATGTGCAGTTCAAAATGTGATGTCTTTGTCAGGTGAATAGATTACGAGACCCATTTCCCCACAATTCATCAACAGAAACCTGGAGGGCTTATGTTTCCAGACCGGGCAGCTTTATACGTGGTAGCAATTGAAGACAGACAGTACAAGGACTTCAAAATCCACTGTAAGTCACTTTATGGTTCTTTGTTGAGCTTCTGTTGTGTGCTGGGGGTGAGAGAAACTTCTGGGTGGTCGGTTGGTGTACTGGGAGAGTTTATCTGTGACCCTTCTGGAGTCTTCTATGAAGTCTTTCTCACTATTCCCAAGGGTGGGGGGGGGGGGGGTTCTACAGAATGTAAATGAACAATGTAGCTGGTAGAAGGTAACATCTGGGAAGGGAGAATAGAGTGTGGCCCCGGGGCAGTAGGGGTTGTGGTTGTGCAGAGAGCAGAGGGGCAGGTGGCCAGGTGTGGCAGGTCTCCCGTCAAGCCAACCGCTTTGAAACTCGCCCCCTTGCCTCTAAACTGGTCAAAATCACCGTGACTCTGCGTCACATTAGGTAAAATATGGATTCTTCTCTGAGGTTCCTTTAAGGATACATGCAGTGAGGTGGGGAGAGAATCTCAATCAATCAGATAGTGTGCTTGTGGGGCGGGGACAGAGACTCATAGGTAAATATGTATCCACAATGTCTTACGAGTTAGAACAGTATCTTCTCTCAGGCAAAAGGGCTCCATGTGGTGGTACGTTCCTATAGCCCAGCACTCAGGAGGCTGAGGTAGGAAGATCATAAGTTTGAAGCTAGCCTGGGCTATACAGCAAGACCCCGTATTTCTCTCTCTACACCACTCTAAACAAAAGAAACAGTTGTAGTAGCTAATTCCAGCATTTGGGAGGCTGAGATGGGGGGAATTATCTCAAGTTCAATACCAGCCTGGGCTACAGAATAAGGCTCAGTCTCAAAACAAAACAAAATAAATAAACAAAACCTTTGCAGTATTTTATCTGGTTCTAGAGAACCATTTTTTTTTTCTATTTCATTTTAAAAGTTTTATTTCTTAGTGACATGGGCCTGGTGTTTGGTGGAATGGTACCCAGTGTATTTCTGTCAGGTGAGACATGGCCGTGTCACTTGAAATGGCACATGGCAATGGAGCAAAGAGCCCTTTAAACGATCAACACACCAGCATTCAAACCAGAAGCAAGAGGCAGGAACTCTAGGTTGCACAGCAGTCAGTATGTCCAGGTTCACGGCCACGGGCTGCATACACCTGCTTGGGAAGCTGGCTGTGAGGCTCTCACACCCTCCTAGAAGTTGAACATCAAAGGGTGAGGCTCAGAGTCAAACTTCGGAAGGGGAAATGAAGGAGTGACTTGAAGCTCCAGGCCTTGGAAACCTGCTAGGTCACCGTCATTGCTAATATTTGACCCAGGAAGGGAGGACACAGGCCTCTGAGTGAAAGTCAGATGTGAGGTGACTTGGGGGAATGCTTTGACACCTGCCAACCCCAGCATTTTAATTTTTTTTTTTTTTTTTTTTTTTTTTTTTTTTTTTTTTTTTTTTTTTTTTTTTGGTTTTTCGAGACAGGGTTTCTCTGTGTAGCTTTGCGCCTTTCCTGGAACTCACTTGGTAGCCCAGGCTGGCCTCGAACTCACAGAGATCCGCCTGCCTCTGCCTCCCGAGTGCTGGGATTAAAGGCGTGCGCCACCACCGCCCGGCATCCCCAGCATTTTAAATGAGGGCTTTGCCATTCACTGACTCAGTAACCTTGAGTGGGTTACCTGACTTTGAGCCCCAGTGAGAGATGATGCTCTCAATCCCAGTGATTTGCAAGGACTAAATCAGATGATATATGCCAAAGAACACCACAGTTTGTGGTGTGTGTAGGAATAGGCCAGACCTATCCTTTAAAGGAGTAAGCCAGCATCTTGTTTGACTCCAGGCTCTGCCAAGCCTGCTGGCCTCTGGTGGCTTGGAATATGGGCCTTGCATCTCCCCATCTAAAACTGAAGAAGCCACTGAGTAGCGAACAGTAGTCAAGCGTGTGTTTAAATAGAATTCAGATCACCCTGGAACAGCATTTTGGGGCTTGTGAGGAGTAATTGTTCTGAGCAGCGTGTGGACAGAACATTCAAACACATTCTTCACTCACATCTACTTAAATATTTATGGAGCTCTAGGAAAGCTCTTTATGGAGCGGCCTTCTGGTTTCCAGAACAAACTCACCTCCTCCCCACTTCCCTCCCCAGAACCTGTTGGGAGTCCTTGGAGCAGGCACATTGCAATGAGCCGTTCTGAACCTACCAGAGGAAGGGACAGTGGCTGCTGCTTAGGGGACGGCCCAGATCTGGAGAGCATGTAATTTGCTCTCACAGTTCCTATGACTGCCTTTACAGCTCTGGAAAGGAGAAAAACGAATTAACAGTCAAACAAACTAAAACTGAACAAAACCCAAAGTCAGGGCCCATTTTTTCCTTATAAAGTGTTTACCTTTGTGTATCTTTTTTAAAAGGCTCACACTATAGTTCTGTGGTAGAATACTTACTTAGCTTCAACTGCCAGCACCACAGGAAAAAAAAAAGCAACATCAAAACCCCTAAATTCCCAAAGAACAAGATTCTAACATTTATATTTCATTTAGGATACAGTTAAGTTTTCTACTTAAATGTTTTTCTTTTTCTTTTTTGGTTTTTCGAGACAGGGTTTCTCTGTGTAGCTTTGCGCCTTTTCTGGGACTCACTTGGTAGTCCAGGCTGGCCTCGAACTCACAGAGATCCGCCTGGCTCTGCCTCCCGAGTGCTGGGATTAAAGGCGTGCGCCACCACCGCCCGGCTATGTTTTTCTTTTAAACACACATTTTTAGCTAAAGGAAACAGGCCCCTTTAGAGAAATGTGTTTCCAACAACAGCTTTTGGTTGCTGGTTGCCAAGGGGACAGTTACAGGCAAATTTCAATTGGTCCAAGAAGCACAGGAACAGTGTGAATGTGGGGTTTGTCCTGCTCTACAGAAAGTAAACTATTGAGGTTGAAGGTTTTCCTTCCCATCCCCTCTCCTGTTCCCCACTTCCCCTCTCCTCCTGTCTCTGCTCTCCCCACCCCTTCTCAGCCATGATCATACAACAAAACATGGGCCCTGCCCTCACTCTACTGACCAGCTAAAGGGGACCAGGTGCCTGACCTCCCCTGGCTCAGGGTGTACATGTCTTCTTGGACAAAGCAAGGAATAACACATCAGAGGAACGTGCAAGGTGTGTTTGAATCTGAAAGAGGAGCAATCAGTAAAAACAACAGTCCCCTACTGCAGAGGAGGCTTATGGAATGGAATCTCAAAGTTGGGCCATCCATTCCGGCTCATCCCTGCCACAAGTCACCCAACACTAGAATCTCCAGCCAGCTGGGGTCAAGAGGAGGGGGAGCCAGAAGGAAGACCCGGTGTGGAGGCAGCTGCGCTGTGGCTGGAGAGTTGCAGACTCTATCTCTTGGAGGGCTGGGGTCCGTCTGGCTCTTCTACTCTCTACCCCCTACTCCACTCTTGGACCTATACATTTTTATGTGGGGGCTTTTCCCCATCGTTCACTTTGCTACTGGCAGCCTAAAACACGTGAGGACATTATAAACACCTTCCATTCTGCACAGCGAGGCTGTAAGTGGGGCCTTGAGGTACCCCTGCTTTCCTCTGGAGGCCTTCTGAGACAGTAGCCCTGGCTGTCAGCCCTCACAGAGAAACTCAGATCTTTCAGGCCAGAGAAAGGAGGGCAGCTGCTGTACTTTCCAATATGCATTCTGTTCGTTTCCAAGAATTTGTGTTTCTGTTTCTTTGGCTGCTTTTGAGACAGTATCTCCATGTACATATGTCTTTCTTGTCTCTCTCTCTCTCTCTCTCTCTCTCTCTCTCTCTCTCTCTCTCTCTCTCTCTCTCTCTCCCTCTCTCTCTCTCCCTCTCTCTCCCTCTCTCAAGTTTTACTTTGATTTACTTGTGTGTGTTTTCTTTGTATGCATCCTGATTGGGGCTATATACAATGCTTGGATCTGTAGGTTGATTATCTCATTAACCTGGAAAAAAATTAGCCATCATCCATGCAAGTGTGTATTTTTCTCTGTCTGATCTTCCTCATCTTCAGGGAGTTTCATTAAAAATGTATTTGATATTACACTATAGATGTTGAATGTTTTTCTTCTCATTGTGTTTAATTTTGAGTTATTTTTTACTGAACTAGTTTTGGGTTTATTGATCTTTTCCTCAATGTGTTCATGCATTCCACTAACCAGCTGATTACAAGAATTCTTCCTCTCTGATAGCGTGATTCTGGATTGAAGAATTTCATTGGCCTTTGAAGACACTGTTTCTCTCTTCTACCCATCTGCTGCGCATCCTTTACCTTCCCCACTGGATTTCTTAATGTGTTTGTTGTAGTGACTTTACAGTCTCTGCTGAGCAGTTCTAACATCTGAGCTGTCGCTGAGTCTGCCCTTCTCTTTCCCTTTGGATCACAGGTCATGTGTGTGCCCTCTTCAGTGTCTTGTAACTCTTCACTGCTGCTGGGCATGGTGTGTTAAACCCCAACACAGGAGACGAAGGATATTTGTACCCAGAAAAGAGGCCTTTTCCTCCGACAGGGTTTTGCAATAGGGGTTTCAGTCGAATGGGCCTGCAGTCATGGACTTTGAGGTTGCCTTAATAACCTTTATTGTGATGTATCAAGGTCTGTTTCAGAATTAATGTTAATCTATCAACAAAAGATGTTCAGGGCCCTCTGATGTCACTTAGATAAGTAGTGGCAGTCCTTCAACAGACAATATGGCCTCTCAATAGACAATTAACACCTGATCCACAGCCTCCCATTTCTGCTTCACTTCCACCAAGACAGCCTAGTGTGGGAAACAAATGTCAGCAAAACCAAGAGAATGTGTTTCTGAAGGTTCTGGATGCTTTGTCCCTGAAGAGCTGGAGTGGGACAGTCTAGCTGTGGACATAAGACATCAATAAGCCCCAGTAAAGGTACCTAGAGGATGAGACATTTGCAAAGAAAGACAACATTTCATTTGTGAATACCTTCAGCTTGAAAAGAACCAGCTGCGGGCCTGTGCTGTGTCGGATGCTGTGGGTGCCGAGGACATGGAAGGGCCCCCAGTAGCTGGAAAGGGGTTTGCCAATGCTACGGGACTTTAAGTTCGTAACTCAGGACCTGAAAAACACCTCAGAAGATCAAGCAACATGAAGGTTTGCCAACTCTAGGTAGAATGACCATGCTTGTGGAAGTCCGGCTTCCTGAGTCTCCCATCTAGAGATTCTAGTCCAGTAGGTCTGGTCAGAGCCCAGGAGCTGCCCTTTAAAAAGCATTCTAGAACACATCAACACCGAGCCAAACCCTTCCTTTTACAAATAAGATTGGAGAAGAGGCTTGGTCTGCACAGGGCCGCTCAGCTTGGCGCTCAAACCACACAACGACGACTCCACATGCCAAGGTCTTTCTTTGCACTTGGTACTGTCTCAGGCACTTTGCTTACAATGTCCTTTCAGTGCTCAAAAGGGCCCTGGAGAATAGCCATCATTATCACCAACAGCTCCGTTTTAAAGAAAAAGACACGGAGGCTTGGAGAAACTCATGCTTACGTAAAGTTACATAACAAAGAAACGGAAGAGTTCAGATGTGAATCCCAAACACCCAGGCCATCAACCATCACACATGCCATCTCTGAGGATTTTGCATAGAGCTTTTTCTGGAGGGAAGGGGTACAGGGACTGAAGGAATAGGTGCAGAGTGGCAGGTTTCTTCATGGAGGGGTTTAAACCCAAGGCAATGTGACTCAGTATATATGTGTCATCTGGGAAGAGAGTGGGTAGCGGCCAGGTCCCATAATGTGGCCTATCTATCTATGTGTCTGTCTGTCTATCTATCTATCATCTATCTATCTATTCATCTATCTATCTATCTATCTATCTATCTATCTATCTATCTATCTATCTTGGAGACAGAGTCTCATGTAGGCAGGCTGACTTAGAATTCATTATATAGCCAAGGCTGACCTTGAACTCTTGGTTTTCTCACCTCCACCTCTGAGTGCTAGGATCAGAGGCATGAACCACCACACTTACACAGTGCTGGAGATGGACCCAGGGCACGCCAGGCAAGCACTCCACCGGATGAGCTACTTCCCAGCCCCCACAATGTCGGGTTCAACCAGGAGTTTGGCACCGCCCTCCTGTAATTGAATGGGCCGTGACTGGCAACTTCTCTGCAAGCAGGAACTCACCAGCACTCACCCTCTGGGCAATGAGTGTTCCTTCTGCCTGCTTCCCCCCACCCCAGAGATCTTTATGTACCTTAGAAAAGAACAGCAGTTCTTTGACTGGCCATTCATACCTCCCTCTTCCATACCCACTGTCTTCAACACACACAGGGACCTGAGTTCCCCAAGGCACCATTTGTGTGATGAACACTAAAAGAAAATTTACATTTAATAAGAGTTTAGACAAAAGCATCTTTACTTCAAGGCATTTCTAAACCCTTCAGAATAAACAGAAGAGATCCAGCTTCTCAGGGACCAGAGCCCTGGCCCAAGCCCTCCTTTTGGCAGGAAGAACTTTGTATGCCTGGCTGGTGTTACATTGGGACACAGCTGGAGGCCAGGGGTCAACTTGGCTCTTTTCCTAGCTTCATACTGGTGTCACTGGGCTGGTGTGTGACTTTGGGTCAGGGTTTGTGTGTGAGCCAGATGCCAACTTATCAGGGCCAATTTTCTCATCTGTAGCTTGGAGGCACCCTCAAGGGGTTGTTGGGTGTATTAGGCAAAGTGACTAATCACTAATGCCAATTAGCACCATCCCTGATGGTCTTAGGCCATCAGACTCAAACTCACCAGCTCCTACACTCTAATTCTTCTTCCTTCCCAAAGCGTTTCATGAGTAGTCCATGTGGCCCAAAGCCCCATAAAAATGGTTGCCCCCTCCTCACATAGCGTGATTTCTTATGGGGTGAATCCTCAGTGAGTGCTTTTCAGATTGATGGCATGGGAGTAAGGTGAGCACCCCCCTGGACCCACCTGCTGAGCAAGCTGGGATTCTGAGAGATCAGGGAGGGAGTCTGCCTAGTGCCCTCAGAGTAAGCTATGGTGCCAGACTCAAACCTGAGTCTGTTTTATTTATGAGCCCTGGTTTCTCTCAGCTGCCTTGAAGGTTCAGATGGGCCCTTAGGGGACAGGAATCTTGAGCAAAGGCCCAGAAACAGGAAGTAAATGGCCTGGAGAGGAGACAGCAGGCACATGCCAGAAGTCACAGGTCTTGTGTGTAAGGAAGGACCTTAGCCTTGTTGCCTTCTAGATGTGTGACCTTCCAGCAGTTTCACAGCCTCTCTGACCTCTGGCTTATGTGACAGAATGGAGCTTGCCTTTTCTAGAGGTGAGAATGGCAGTGTGAATGAGCAGCTGCTTCACTGCAAGGCTTCCCTTGCAGGCCAGTGACGCTTACAGTATTCTGATTGAAGGGAGCAGAGGCTTTACCTTGCTCCCTTGTCTTAGAAAGGCTGTGCTGTAGCACTCAGGAGCTTGTGTGAGCTTGGGGGTCCTGCTGCCTGTCTTCATGTCTCACTCTGTTTCCTCAGGGTGGGAGAACGTCTATGGCTTTGACATGACCTGTATCCGGGATGTTGCCATGAAGGAGCCCCTGGTGGACATCGTGGACCCAAAGCAAGTGGTGACCAATGCCTGTTTAATAAAGGTCTGGAGATTCGTCTGGGTTGGGACTGGGTATGCTAAGGACCCAGCGGTGCCACTCTGGAAAGCGGGGTCATAGCAGTTCCTGCAGGGCTCCCCACTGAGGGCACCAAGGCCACTTTGGTCAGAGCCTGGTGACAAGTCAAAAGCTGGTGTTCTTGCTAAGCAGAGCTGCTGAGATGACTCCGGAGTGGCACCGCTGGGAGCGGGGCCCAAAGCGGGGCCCTTGGTGGTATGAGTGAGGGGAAGCGCATCAGAGACCACACTGCTGGGAGGCAGGAGGAGTATGGAGACTTAGGACAGCAGGGCAATTCAGGGCTGAGTGTCCATCTTGGGGAAGACCTCTCAGACCTCCTGAGACTGCCACTCCAAGCACACATCAGGTTTGCACAGACAGAGTCCCCAGCCCCATCCTGGAGCCTCCTCCTTGGTCTGTGCCCTGAAATCCTTTATCAGGGTTTCTATAGTGTGCCCAACTAGCTGGTGAGCATCTTGAATTCATTCTTATTATTAAATATCTAAACGTGCCTAATTACAAAGCGTAACAATAAGCATTTGAACTCACCTCCACCACTTTGCCCACCCCATATCCTCCCAGGAGCCACCACTGTTCAAGGCCAGATGAATCTTTTCAGTCCTCCTTCTATGTTTTAGCACTCCTATGTGCTAATGTATGATCTGAAACAGATGTAACTGCCTCTAGTCTTGTAGGTTGAAAGACATCCACTTCGCAGGATGCAAGTTCATTTTCTGGCTCCTATGTAAGCCTCATCATCCTATCTGTCTCTCTCATTCTCCTGGGGCATCCTTGTCTGCCCTGGGCCCCTGTGCCTCCCTTGTTTTCTGGATGTCTGGGACTGGTGGCTTGGAACCTTTCTAGCAGAAGTAAGGACCAATTCACGGCCTCCAAAGTTGGGGGGAAGTTTCTGAATGGCTGCTGTTTGCTCATACAAAGAACTCCCTCCTTTTTTGGACATAGGATCCACTGCAGCCCGTGTTCCTGATCATCCCTGCTGCATCACCTGATGACCCCCCACTTCGCAGCATCCTGTCTGAGAGGTTTAGCTTCAGATCTGAGTCTTGGCTTCTCATCCTCAGGCTCACCAGTTCTCTGGTACTGGCAGGAGTCATTGCCAGGAAATATGCCCACATCTTCCTATAAACCCATACCCCTGAGGCCTTTCTCTCTTGGAACGCTGAACAAGAGCAAGGAAAGTGGGAGAAGCTCACTCTCAGGGCATGGCACACCCCTCAAAATTCAGAAGAAGAGTTGAGCCTTGTGGCTGAGATCTTTAGTCTCTGTGTTCCAGGAGGCTACGAGAGAAGGATAGAGAAGATAGAGAGTTTGAGACTCTCTTGAGCAACTGTCTCAGAAGCCAAAGCAAGAAGAGGAGAGTTCAGTTCAGTAGTTCAGTGGTAGAGCACTTGCCTAGCATATACTAGGCCCAGAGTTCAATCCCCAGTACCCAAAATAATCAAACAAACAAATAAATAAATTGATGGATTTATTTATTAATTGATTTCAGAAGAGGTAGACGTCAATGAGTGCTATTGAATTTTCCAAAACAACACGTAGCCATCACAGCTGCCATCGGGCACCTGCACAAAGCAGCTTTAGCTTAGAGATAAAATCTGTCTGTGTTCTGGGGCACTAGATCGCCTTACTGTCCTTGACAGAGTCCATTTGTAATGTGGCCACTGTGTTCCTACGTGTTGCCTGCTGGTGGCCTCCCAGGTTGGCTAGGTTCTCCCCAACCCTCAGTCCCCATGCCTTTCTTTCCCTTTTTCTCCTTTTCCCTCTTCCCAGGTGGGTACCTTGGCAGCAAGATCCTTGGCCATGTTACACCTGGGTGTATCTGTGTGCCAAGCAGTCAGACTCGACAGGGAAGGAGGCTGGGGAAGGATGGGTGTCGCATCTGTTCCTCCTGCAAACTCAGAAGTATCTGAAGATGTCTCGGGACCAGGGACCTTCTGTGATGATGCCTCTTCGCTGCTGCGCTGTGACCTTCTTCTTATCAGCATTTTCTGAGCCAGGAAGGGGACTGTTTGCCACTACAGTGCTCGCTCCCACACCTCTCTCTCTCTCTCTCTCTCTCTCTCTCTCTCTCTCTCTCTCTCTCTCTCTCTCTCTCTCTGCAGCATCTCACTGAGCCTCCTGGGAAAACACTTGCCCTTCTTCACACACTTAATTGCTGTTTTCATAGCTATTAACACTGCCGAGTGTGACACTTTATTATAATTAAGACTCTGTTTTGACCAGACTTCTGCCTGGAGACATCTATTTGTGACATTATTGAGAGGTGGGGGTAGCAGAGGCCAGGAGCTCTTCTGAAGCTCATTCCCTGAGGATCCCTGTGTTATCTGGGGTTGTCTGAGAACAAGGCAGTGAATTTCCTTGAGGTCTCAAGGGTGCAAATGAGAGAGAAAGAAGCCTTCCAGTAATAGCGCCTGGGCTCCGGGGCATCAGTGGGGATAACTGTGGCTGAGCTGGGGGCTGGGGCATGCACCTGAGCCCTGGGCCTTTGAGTCCCCAAAGCCCAGCCAGGTCTGATCCTATTCCCACAGATGGGACCCATCTGCCTCTACTATTGTCACATCAGTGCACAGCTTCATTGCCCTTTGCCTGGAGCGTTTTGTTTCCTCAGAGGCCCCCATTAAGATGCAAATGTCTCCAGGACCCATGGAACACTGTCAGCTAACACAAGACATGACGGATGACATTTGGTTGATGGATGGTCTGAGAGACTGTCTGGAGATGGGATTCCTGCTAGATGGTTTGCTTGTGCTGGCTGTGTGTGTGTGTGTGTGTGTGTGTGTGTGTGTGTGTGTGTGTGTGTGTGTGTTGTATATGTGTGTGTAACCATGAATACAAGTTTGTTGCTCATCGCTGGAAAAAGCTAATGGCTCCAGAGCAGGTTGTCGGGACAAGGAAAAAAATACCCTGAACATCAGTAAGATCATCTTGCCTTGTGTTTGCAGGCCGATATAGGGAAATATGAGGACACTTGGAGTAAGGGGACTTCAGGATCTAAAGCAGCAGTGGTCTTCTCTGATGTGTGGACTGCTGTTCACTGTGCTGACCAGCTGTTTTGGATTCTGAAATCTAAAGTAAAGTTCCTGATTCGAAAGTCTCTGCCAGGCATGGTGGGACACACCTGAGATCCCAGCACTAGGGAGGTAGAGGCCAGAGATCATGGTTCAAAGCCAGCCTCGTCTACTTAGTGAGTTGGAGATCAGTCTGACCTATGGGAGACCCTGTCTCAAAAAACCAAACCAAACCAAACCAAACAAATCTACAACTCCTGTTTTTTGGAATTGCTTGCTCCAGGAGAAGTTAATTCTGCAGCTAATTATTATAAAATAGAAAACACTGTTCTCCAAAGAGTGGGAAAGATGGTGAAGGACTACTTTGCTGGAAGACCCTGGGGGATAGAGAAAACCCACTTCTTCTGGAGGGCCAGAGACACACAACTGTAGTCAGGCTAGATAGTGAAATGCAATTGTCACACAGCAGGGTGGCTTCATGCAGAGTCACTTGGAAAAAAGCCAGCATGAAGCCAGTAGTAACATGTCGATGGTGGCATAGTCTCCCAAACTAATGTCTTTGGAATCAACTAAAGGGTGTGGAGGTAGAAGCTTATTTTTGTTCCCATTAAGTAATGTGTGTATGTGTTTGCGTGTGTCTGTATGTGTATCTATGTGTATGTGTGCATTTATGTATGTGTGTGCATGTGTGCACATGTGTGTTTTGAAAGTGACAGAAAGAGAAGTAATAGATGGGGAAATTTATGAGATCCGGGGATAAGTCCTAGGGAGTCCTTGAAGGCTGTAGACCAAGAGTGACACAGTTTGAGTGGGTGGGTGATTGTTAAAGACAGCCCAGGAAGGAGGAGGGAAAGACTCGAGGCAGGGAGACCTGTTCTGGGAGGAGGTGAGCCCACGCACCTGTTAGTACTCGATTATATACCAAGGACACACAAGACAATGAGGTATGGCTCCTGTCCCCAGAAGGATCCATTCTAATGGCAGGGGCTGAGGATGGAGGTGGACAAGGCCCCTACATAAGAGCCAGAAGTCAAGCTGGGCTGGTGGCCGAGGATCAAAAGAGAAAGACGCAGGGACTGTGAAAGACCCTGCATGAGAAGGGGGCAGAAAAGTCACCAGGTGCTTATGGACACCATTAGTCACTGCTCAGTTCCCTGAGGCTTTCTCTTGAATTCTGGAGCCACGGGGAACTTTCAGATGGCGTGTGGCTTGGAGGGACTGTGAGCACTGAGACAGTCTATCAGACACCTCCTCTAAAGGGGTTTCTTACCCTGGAACAATGGCTTCCACTCCTAGGCAGGGTCTCTGCTGAAGAGGTGGGGTGGAGAGCGTACTTGAATGCAGACAGAACCCCGCGGCATTGCGATTCCCAGCAGGAGAGTGAAGGGCCTCCATGTTGGACATTCAGCTTGCCCTGTAGGTGGAAGTCAGGGCAAACAGCTGTGATTTCTCCACTGCTTCTAAAGATGCCTGGACCTGGAAGGCACTACATGGTGGACAGAGGATCAGCATCCCTGGGCTGTCCACAAAGGTCAAGCTGTCACTTATCAGGATGGATGAGACGCTTTATATCATCTATGGTGGCCCCTCTGGCCCAAGGTTCACCTTCCCATTAGTTCTTATTCTCCATCTTTGGGCTCTAGAAACTATGTAGTGTCCACCTCATGGAAGGCTCCATCCAACCCTGTAGCCCAGCTGCTTGCTGCCAATGACTGGAGGGCTTCACTTTCTAACCCTGCCTCTGCCTTCTTCCTGGCCAGTCTGGGAGCGTTTTCCCTTCCGCAAGGGCCATGGTGGCTCATTCAGGTCCCATCAGGACTGAGACTGGCTTGGCTCCTGGGACTCTATTTCTTCTTTACAAGTCCTATGACCTTTGCAACCCCATTCCTTTTAATGATTCTAAAAACACAGAGAGATGGGAGCCCTTTGCCCAGTGCCATCTGTCTCTCTATGGGTCTTGTTGCTGGGTATCTGGAACACTGTCTGGAACCACTAGGCACAGAGATGCCTGCCTGTCTCTTCCTGAGTCCCCCAAAGAGTGGTTCTTGCTATACAGCCCAACACAAGAGAAGTTCTTCTTAAAGTCTCACTGGTGCCAGGCAGTGGTGGCACACGCCTTTAATCCCAGCACTCGGGAGGCAGAGCCAGGAGGATCTCTGTGAGTTCGAGGCTAGCTAGCCTGGTCTACAGAGTGAGTTCCAGGAAAGGCACCAAAACTATACAAAGAAACCCTGCCTCAACAAACAAACAAAAAAAGCCAGTCTCGCTGGCATCTGCCTGGATTCCCCTTAGAGCCCCCAGCAGGGTTTCCTGCCTCAGGATGGCCAGTGAACAGCAGGTCAGTCAGCATCCTCCACTCACAGAAGAGCAGCACATGGAGAGCCGTCTATGCATTGCACTCGCTCCCCACGCAACATCGATTTTCAGTCACTCTCCAGCTGAACTTGTGAGAATTATTAGTTCTTTGTGTTCCGCTTTCCCCAGTCCAAACTGAGACTTCTCGCCTCATGTTTCCCCCTCTTATTTATTTTTTAAACCTGTCTAGTCTTGTTATAAATGGTCAGCGGAACTTCCTCCAGCCCGTTTATGCTTCAGTCCTGAGGCAACACTTAGTGTTCTTGACTTGGAGAACTTAAATAAAAAATAAAAATTAGTGGGGGCTGGGGAATGAGTCTTCTGATTCATGGGAGACCTGGAGCGAGGGCCCTGCTGTTTTGATTGAGTAGGTCTGTGGTGACTCTCCTTGCCCCTCTCAGAATTTTCTCCCAGGTAATAGAGACGCTGAGCAGGGGGGCCCCACACTTTGTGATGACTGGAGGAAGGTAGCAATGCTTGGCTGGCTATAGCCATTCTAACTTGCTTTGGTCTCCTCAGTCACTCTTGTCTCAACCTTCAGCCCCTTTGGCCTCCTCCGCTAGCAGATGGACCTTCCTGGTTCAGTTCTGGTCAGATTTGGATTCAGTTCCACTCACACCATTCTCCAAGTGTCCTTTACCTTAGGAAAGATGGAGGAGGTAGTTGGGAGGGTGGTGGGTGGGTCTGGAAGTCACCCCAAAGTAGTGGCTAATTTAGTTTCTCTAGGGGTAAGGCTACTGGGCCCCCGAAAGACAGAGGTTGTAAACCTCCGGTTTCTTTCTCCTCTGGGCTACAGGAAGTGGACATTTACACTGTGAAGACGGAAGAGCTGTCCTTCACATCTGCCTTCTGCCTGCAGATTCAGCGCAATGACTACGTCCACGCCCTCGTCACCTACTTTAATATTGAATTTACCAAGTGCCACAAGAAAATGGGTTTTTCTACAGGTGAGCTCTCCGTTGGTTTTCTGTAATTTCCCCTCTGTGCTTCCTGGAGGCTCATGGGTAGGAACCAGGGCTGGCCTTAACTTGGCCAGACATCAGTTGGGCCTGTGACCTGGCATCTCACGAGCTTTCTCCATCTGAGGAGAGGATGTAACCCCCACTCTCTTGACTTCCCAAGGAGAAGGTAAACACGATAGAGGTAGAGTTCCCAGAGCTGAGAGCTGGCGTGGGTGTCACCAGGAACGCGCTCTGGCCTCCCCTTTGCTCTTCTATCCTTGTGGTCTTTAAGGAAAGAATTCCTACGAGACATGGTGTAGTTACATAACACAGGCGAGCTTATTGTAAAACAACATGAGGTACTTTGGAGGGTGAGAGTGGATAGTGACCAAAGGGACCACTGTGGGGGGAGACACTCTGGAGGGTCAAGCGTGAACAGTGCTCAGGGAGGTCATCATTCTGACTTCCGTCCTTAGGTCTACCTTACACTGTGTCTTGTGTTTGAAGGTTCCTGTGTGCTCACTTGTGTGAGCACAGGAGAATGGAGGCTGTCCCAGTCAGCTTTCTGTCGCTGTGATAAACACCATGGCCAGAAACAACGTGGGGGAGGAAAGGGTTTATTTAATCCTACAGCTATTGTTGGTCACTGGGGGAAGCCCAGGCAAGAACACAGAGACAGGAACTGAAGGAACGCTGCTTATTGGCTTGCTCTCAGGTTCACATTTCCCTCCTTTTGTATACATCCCAGATACACCTGCCGAGGGATGGTACCATCCATAGTGGCTGAGTCTTCCCACATCAATTAACCATCAAGAAAATACCTCATAGACATGCCCACAGGCCAATGCAATGGAGGCAATTCCTGTCAGTTCAGAATGACATGTCTGCACCTGGGGCCAGAGATAGACTTCTCATTGTTTTGACTAATCATCCAAGTCTTGCTATCTCCGTTCCTGGTTTTACAAGCTGCTGATAATGTGGGAGGGCTCATCCCCATCACCTCCACCCTGCTCATATATGACGCCCTACTTAACACTGGATGAGGGCAAGGTAGGAGACATGGGCTGGGTAAGGAGATTCCCTTTTGAAAAATTTAATGAATTATTATTATAATGTGTGTTATGATGTGTGTGAGGGGTGGGTGTGCTGTGGCGTGCTTGTGCATGTGGAGGTCAGAAGACAACATTTTGGAGTTGATTCTCTCCTTCTACCTTTATGTGGGTTCCAGGGATCAAACTCAGGTCAATAGGCTAATGTGGTAAGAGTCTCTGGCTACTGATCCATCTCAACTGTGCCTGTCCTCTGGAGATTTTTAATTACGTGTATCTGGTTAGCATTTGTGAAAAAATTCTGTGTGAAGGGTAAGAACAGCATAGAGATTCTGATAGAATCCCCTTCTGGCCCTAGGATAGTCCATATGCACAAGTGGGAATGTGAATATAATGTGCAGAGGTGATGGCCTCTATGTAAGACTACACATAGGGCTGGAGAGATGGCTCAGAGGTTAAGAGCACTGACTGCTCTTCCAGAGGTCCTGAGTTCAATTCCCAGCAACCACATGGTGGCTCACAACCATCTATAATGAGATCTGGCGCCCTCTTCTGTATACATAATAAATAAATAAATCTTTAAAAAAAAAAAAAAAGACTACACATAACTCTCTCTGGGCTATGAACTGGCCTCTCTCTTTCCTTCCTGCTTTTCCCTCCTGTGTCCACTCATTAAGTCTGTGGTTGCATTTCCAGAAGATGACTTCCACTATCCTGGTCTGCTTTCTGTTGCTATAACAAAACATTGGAGTCTGGATAACTTATGAGGAACAGAAGTTTATTTGGCTCACAGTTCTGGAAGTTGCAAGTCCAAAAACATGTTTAGCTTGACACCTAATGAGGGATCTGTACTGCATCATAATGTGGCAGAGGGTACCAAAGACGAGACAAAGAAAGCCCGAGAGAGAGCTTTCCTGTGCTGTGGGCCAGTCCTGTGATGTGGTGCTTGAAAAAGAATGGCCCCCATAGGTTCATATATCTGAATGCTTAGTCACCAGGGAGCGGAACTTTTGGGGAAGGGTTGGATATGTGGTCTCAGTGGAAGAAGTGTGTCACTGAGACTGAGCTTTGAGCTTTCAAAAGCCCACACCAGGACCAGTCTCTCTTTCTCTCTGTCTGCTATCTGTGGATCAGGTTGCAAAGCTCTGCTACTGCTCCAGCACCATGCCTGTCTGCTTTCCACCATGATAATCATGGACTCACCCTCTGAAACTGTAAGCAAGCCCCCAGTTAATTGCTTTCTTTTATAAGAGTTGCCATGGTCATGCTGTCTCTTCACAGCAATAGAACAGTGACTAAGACACATGATAACCCACAGGTCCATCCATCCATGAATAGATTTGTATATTCACGAGGATAGAACCCCAAGACCCAATTACTCACCCTGCCCTCCAAAAGATTTCAGCTCTCAACATTGATGCATTCACTGAAGACCACATTTCCAACACATGAGCTTTGGCAGACAAATTCAAACCATGTCCTTTGTCTAGTCTGCCTTGAGAGGCACTTCATTGCCTTTGGGCCCAGCAAGGGAGGGCTCCATGGCTTGGCCCTAGCCCCCTAGTGGGTCCTCAGACATATCTTGCTGGGCATGCCCAAGCTCTTTCCCATCACTCCCACCCACAGGACAGCCACTCTGGGCTCCCTCCAGTGCCCTAGGCTCAGGGGACTTCTTCATCATGGGGCCGTTGTTTCTGCATGTTCATTTGGGTTGTGACCCAGGAACAGGAGGGTCCTTTATCAGAGGGCTCTTGTTACCCCTTTCTTTCTGCAATAGCCTGCTTGAGCTGCTAGGACAAAGGTCCGGAGACTGAATGTCCTCCATATGAGTTCCTGGAAACTGTGAGTGTGCCCTCAGAGGCTGAGTAGGTGTGCTAGTGGCACGGGGGAATGTTCTAGCAGATGTAGTCACTTATTTCTTAGATACGTGGGGGGCAGGAATGCCCTTTAACCTGTGGACAGGAGGCAGGAGACTTTTTGAGCATATCCAATACCAGGCCAGGTGTGGTAGTGCACACCTTCAGTTCCAGCACTTGGGAGGCAGAGGCAGGTGGATCTCTGTGAGTTTGAGACCAGCCTGGTCCATACAGTGAGTTCCAGATCAGCCAGGGATACAGAGGCCTTGTCTCTAGACAAACAAATGAACAGACAAACAAACAAACAATCACAAATCTTGTCCAAATCCCAGAAAGTCTTCTCCTAGGTCCAGCACTCAGCTTCTGACTACAAAGACTAGTATCTCCTGGGCTCTATCATCTAGGCTGGAGTGGTGCTCTCTTGGCCCTGGGAAAAACCAGAGATCCCCCCCATCCGGATCTGGGCCATTGCTGAGGGCTGCCCTCCTTCAAAGGTCAGTAGGTGAGCTGAGCTCTTTTTTCCAGTGTGCAGGAGCAGCCTGGAGAGGGGAAGTCAGATTCTACTTGAACTTTAAGGATAAAGGAGACTCAGTCTAGCAATGGAGAGGGGAGGCTGGTAGTGAGGGAACCATGATGTCTAACTCTGTCTCTCCCATCTCTCAATGATGATAGCACAGAGCCTACCCTGTGGGTGATGAGAGCCACCAGCAGGGGCACTCTAGAAAAAGCTGTGGGTGTCTAAAGCCTGGATCCTGACCCATGACTCTTACTAAGACTTATCTTTCTTGAAAGTTGTTTGCTTCTGGTCTCAATAGCCTACTGGACTTCTGTCTAGAGTTGATTCCCTGGCTCTGTGGTGGCAGGATTGACATTCTAATGGCTCCATGAGGAGGAGGCTTGGTTAGGGCTCAGCCCAGACTCCAAACTGTTGCTTCTGGGCTTCCTGAAAGAAGGTGAGGACTTGAAGTGTGTAACTCTAGGCTCAGTCCCCTCTGTCTGTTGGCCATCCCCTTACCATTACTCCGCTTAGGCTGAAAGCCCAGGTGGAAGGCTTTTCTCTGACTTTGAGCCATTAGCAAGCCATATTCCCTCTTGTTTGCACAGAACTCTGCAAAGCTGGGCTCAGGAAGGATGTTCATAGGTCCTAAAATCTTTGACTCCTGTGTCTCTGTGCACTCCTGTGACTCTCAAAGTGTGGTATGTGGACAGTAGCCTAGGAAAGCCTCACCCTAGAACCATCAGTTCAGAAACTCTGAGGGTGGCCCAGCCTTCTGTGCCTCAGCAAAGCCTCTAGGTGGCCATGGTTCCCACTTGAGTTTGAGAAGCACTGCGAGACCATCTGGAACGAAACAGTTGAGAATTCAACTGTGCCTGACTCCCTTCTGGTAGGCCAAGCCTGTCTCCTCATCAAGGCATATCCTCTGCGCTCACCCAGTCTCCATGCTGCTTGTAAACTCTTACCCTGCTTGCTGAGAACCAGAGGAAATGCGGTTGGTTAGTCTCTTAGCCCTCTCGGGAGATGAGCACCAGTTTAGTGTGTCAAAGACTTTACTAGACCATGTGCACTTGGCAGCGGACTCTACTCAGAGTCTTCACTCTGGCCACTGGCAGAGTAATTTTTTTTTGTTTTTCAGGCTCATAGGTGCATACAATTTGATAAATCCCAATGTTTGGTTCAAGACATGCTGTCACAATTGGACAACCTATGCATGATTCACTTTTGGCTTATTTGTTTATTAATATAATGAGTACCCATGAACTTACCACCTAACTCATTGACTAGGATGGAGATGAATTATTAACTAGAACGGAACTAAATTATTAACTACAATGCAAAAGAGTAGCTGGAAACAAATTTATTATTATTTCTGTTGGAATGTAAGTGCACGAGCTGTTGAGTAATACTTAATTAAAATATAAATATCAGCTAAAATGGATGATGAATAAATGATATATGGTAATATTTATAATTAATAAATGTAAATAAACTAATTCGTATTCACAGAACTCCCTGTGAGCCCACCTCAGAACTTAGTGGCTTAGTTGCTATCGGTATCTCTGAATTTTTTATCTAAACGTCCCATTTCTAGCCATTCCATCCCTAAATTAAGTAGTCCTATGTCCTGACTATTGGAAAAAGAGTTTTAATACAATCATGTACGTGCAAAACCAAGATGCTGATGGTGGGAGTTTGTGGATGCATCCTCCCCTCCCCAGCGGGTGCTCCTCCCTGCTGGCTCCCCATTGAGTCTTCCATCTCAGACCCAGTGCAGCCAGCTCTGGGGGATCCACTCAAAAAAGCAAATCACATACTGTGTGGCTTGAAAATGCTGCTGCTAATGGTTCTGGCTGCTTTACAGCATCAGGCAGAAGTATCCAAGGTTCCAGGCTCTGCCAGCCAGAGGCACAGCTGTCCCTGTCCCCTTGAACTCATTCTCTCTGAGGGTGGGAGGAGATTTGCTGCTGCTGTTCAATCCAGGAAAGCTGTGGGGTGGGTGGAAGGCAGTGGCCCTAAGGGAAGCTGCCTTCAAATATCAGGTTTTCCAAGGTACCATGATAATCACCAGAGATGCCCTTGAGCAGGTGACTTTGTGGGCCTCAGGCAGCCTCTTTCCCGATTTGTATCCTGTGGCACTGAGTCATTTTCCAGGTCAATGAAGACTCTCTGTGCACGGTCTTTAATTTCCAAGAAGCTCACTGGACAACACAACTCTAAATATACAGCTGGAAAACGTGTAGCCTACAAAGAAACACTAACTACTTGACCACTAGAAAGTGAAATGGGAAGTGGAATTCTCTTCCTCAAAGCACAGGAGGATCATTTCATGAGAGGCCACTCCCAATGGCTCTCATGGCTCCCTGTGTTTCCATTCCTCACCCAAGATCATTGCTTCCACAGTTCTGCTTACACTATCTACTATTTGCCTGATGGTCTTCTAAGGGTGTAGGGTCTACAGGAGGGATGAGCATGGGAATGCAAAACTGTGTTCATCTTGGCCATTGCTGGACAAATTCAGAGCCGTGCCTGGCACATGACAGGCATCCCAAGTCAAAGATCTTTGAATACACATTCTTATACCTGCAGCATTCCAAACAGTATTGGTCATACTCACTGTAAATATCAAGTGAAGATCAGCAGTAATCCAGAACCAGGAGGCTGGACTGACATGTGGGTCCAGAATTTTCTCAAGAGGAACTCATCCTCATAATGACTGGAAGCTGAGCCATCTTGGATTGTGGGTTGGGACTGGGAAGGGGGGAAAACTTAGTTACTGACAAAGAAAGGCTTTAGACATCATTCACAGCCCTGAATGCATGGTGTAGTGTGAGTACCACCCCATGCATTGCAGCATTCCAGATATAACTCAGGCATTGTAGAACACCGGCGTGAGGCAGTGTCTCTTTGCAGGTATCCCTCCGTTTATGGATGGATACTTACACACCAGTTCATGAAATGACTCACTATCAGCTGCCACAGCCTAGCCATCCCCTAATGTGGTTTTGTTATAACTAATCGGTTCTAAGTGGGGTGTCCATATGATACAGCTTTCAATTAAGGGTGCTTTGGCAAGCAAGAGGGTGAGCTAGTGATGATTGTGCTGGGTGAAGAGACATGAACTGTGTCCCCAGGCACAGAGGGAGGTATGGTCACTCTTTACGATCCATCTCACCCTTACAACACCTCAGGGGATAAATAGCGTGACCTATAGGTCCATGTGGTGGTGCAGGATTTCCAGGGTCACAGTACATACCTGTGGCAAAAGGAATATAGAACCAGGTGGGGCCTGTTGTCCTTCCCCCCTCATCTACCCAGGAGGATGCGAGAGAAGACAGCCACTTGAGCCATGGGGGCAGATACTCTGTCTTGGCATCCTGACCCCTCTGTGCACCACCTCCCCAAAATTATTGAATTAGAAATGCAAAACCACGCAGAGCCAGGCTTCTAAATTCTGCTGTTTCTACTGGACACAGTGGAAAACTCAGATGAGAAAAGATGTTGAGACCGTTAGGCCACGGCTACTGGTTCCACTATGGAAATGACGTTTGGAAAAATCTTTTGAGACAATATTCCTTCCACCCAGGGGTGGCATGCATGCCTTGGGCCATTCCCTGGAAGCCGTCTGGCCTCACTGGCCAGCAGACCTAAGCCAGTGAAGCTCGGATCCTCAACGTCTCTGATTGGGTGATAGAGGAGGCAGCTCGAATCCCCTTAACTGAAGGTCTTTAGGAACACCTGCCTGAGTGGGTGGAGGTGGAGATGGGGGTGAGAGTGCTGTCACTCACACTCCGGCATTCTGCACACACAGCCAGAACTGTCTTTTGGCAGTTTATTTAGAGATAATTGGCAGAAGCGTGCTGAGAGCAGGTGGTCTGTAGACAGCAGCGTGCCTTGCAGGCTGGGTGCTAGGTGGGCTGGAGGCCCCAGGTCTGCATGGCACGGGCTGTGGTATCTCACTCCTCCCTCCCCCTCCAGATGCTCGGGCTGTGCTTTCTCCTGTGACCTTGGGTTTTCATTGATTGCCAAATGCACACACTGAAGGCTGCCCTAGTCTCCATCTGACCACTGACATTTGATCAAGCCCGCTCCCGGCAAACAACAAAGGGAAAGGAAGGGCCTCTTTGCCATCGTTAAAATAGATCTTGGGGTTTGGGAAGATATTTGAGGTCACCCTGTCTAACTCGGTGCGTGACAAATGAGCTCACTGCCAGTGGTGTCCTCAACACCTCGGGGAGGAGTAAGCAGCTCAGTTCCCACGGTTGTGAGACAGCTCCAATTCCTCCTGCAGATGCACAACTGACTCCTAGTAATTCCCCACGGCGCATGTAAGGCAGTCTCCCATGCAAACAGTCTTCCATGTGTTTGAAGGACCCTTATGTCCTTCCCAAGTCTTGTTGCTGTTAGCATTGGTTTTAGGCAAGAAGCAAAGTCCACTGGGGGAAGATGAGGGTCTCAGCCAAGAGGCTCTCACCCAAAATTGAGTCTCCTGTGGCCCACCGGTTTCAGTTGAGCATCTTTAGGCACATCACACATCACATGATGCTGTGCTTTGGGCTCTTGACACTGTCCACTTATCGGTGTCCACTTGACACTCGACTCCGTACTTCTAGATTAAATTTGGGGAGAGCTAAGCAAGGCTGGCCTGGCTCTGCTCTCTAGGAGTCTGTGAAGGATGTAAACAAGTGAGGGGAAGGCGTTCATTCTGAGGCATGCTAGGCATTGTGATGACATCCATTCTGGATGCCCTTGGAGCACCAGATAGATCCAGGTTGGAGTGGTCCAGGAAGGCTGGCCTTGAAGGATGAGGATGTAGTGAGTAGGGAAGGGGGAGAGTGCTCCAGAGGCAGTCACTGCCAAAGAAAAGGACTGTATCCAAAGACACAGGGCCCCTCCCAGTCAGCTGGAGACCACATGAGATCCAGTGGCAAATACCCAGGAGATGCAAGCATCACAATGACCTTGAGCTATGCGGGAGGGGGGATCTGTGGAGTAAGAATCTCCTTCTTTCTGGTCCGGTTGGGAAGGCACAGCTGGAATCTTACAGCAGGACTGGGCCAGGGTGCTGGGTGCAGCACTGGGGCAAACTCCCATACTTGAAGGATGCAGGAGTAAGAAGGAGGGGTGTGGGTAAAGCTGGGAGACTGGCCGAGCTGTAGAGATTGCATGAATGATGTCATAAACCTACAAATGATGGAGATGGGATGTTCTGCTCTATATGCCTCGCACTCTCAAGTCTTTACTGCACTAACACAGGAGAATAGGGAGGAGACCCATTTACGCTGATGGGATTGGTTGCGGAGGGAGCTCTCAGGGTACCAGCTGCTCCCTGGTACAAGGCTGCTTCTCTTCTGACCCCTCACTGAGATCACCAGTTCAGCGGGGCTGAAATGTGAGGAAGGGCACCAGGGCTGAGTCCGGAGTTCTGGGGCTTGGACTGTACCCCTGGCCCCTTGAGTGTTGGTGTATGGGCAAAAATCACTGAGTCCCCCATGAAAGGATTGGTGCTGGCACAAGACACCCCAAGCCCAAGATTTCAGCATAAAAGGAGATTTATTTGCACCACAGAAACAAAGGACAGGGAATAAGAGACAAAGACAGGAAACAGAGGACGAGGGGAAGGGAGCAAAGGAAAGGGGGCAGGGGTACTTGTCCCAGAGAGACAAAGGACTGCCTCTGGATAGAAAGGAGACAGCTGTGGTGTAGAGGCAAGTGGCAGCTTGTAATGGGAAAGGGGGAAACCCAGTGTTAGGATGAACTGGTTAATTTTGAATTAGGCATGTTAATAAGGTGAGTCCAAGGGGCTTTTGATTGCTAGGCTTTGATACTTTGCTAGCTGGACCTTGGCGGTCAGCCTCAGGAAAAGTAAGTGGCCAAATAAGGGAATGGACCTTGGTAGCTGGCTTTAGGAATGTTATCTAATGGTTTAGCAAAGTAGAGGGAGGGCTGGAGAGATGGCTCCGAAGTTAAGAGCACTGGCTGTTCTTCCAAAGGTCCTGAGTTCAATTCCCAGCAACCACATGGTGGCTCACAACCATCTGTAATGGGATCTGAAGCTCTCTCTGGCATGCAGACAGAGTACTCATATTAAAAAAAAAAAATACATAGCAAGGTAGAGGGGATGGGGAAGAGCAAGGCCTACCAGAGCCCTGTATGTCGTGCTCAGGCCTGTGTTGGCTATGCTTGGGCCTGCCAGAGCCCTTCCACCATGGAAAGCTCAGGACTTCATTTGTGAGTCCTGGGCCTCAGCTGACTCTTGTTCATCTCTGACTCTCTCTTCTTCCCTCTCTTGTTGTGTCCCTCTCCAGCCCCTGATGCCCCCTACACCCACTGGAAGCAGACCGTCTTCTACTTGGAAGACTACCTCACTGTCCGGAGGGGGGAGGAAATCTATGGGACCATATCCATGAAGCCAAATGCCAAAAATGTGGTGAGTCTGAGGGAGCCCTGCATGGCCATGACCACTGAGGGGAGCTCCCAGAAGTCAGCTGAATGTCTTGTGTTACAAACAGAAAAGCTTCTGGGGGAGGCAGACAGCAGCTGTGTTTGCAGGTGACAGGGCCTAATTGATGATCTCAACATTGACTCTTTCTGACCCCAGTGGCTAGAGGCTTTCTGGACTCTGAACTCAACCTTGAGGACAGCTCCCAGAAGCCCACAGGAGAGCCTTTGAGAAGGGATGTTGTACAAATGACTCTGCCTCATTTAGGGTGAGCTGAGCCAGTAAATGCAAGGGTCTGCTATAGAGGGAGTGTTGGTTGGGCATTTCTCCAGCTGACCTGGTGGGACCTTGCTGAGGTGTCCCTGTATCTGCACAGACACTACAAGTCTGCAGGGTGTTGAGGGTGGTGTAGAGCCAGACCCAGCGCCAACCTCAGTTGTCACCTAGATGAAAGAAATCCCGGGACTGCTTTTGTGTGAGGACAGGAAGGCTTAGGTTAGCTGTCAGAGTCCTTCCTGTGAGGATAACGGGGCACCAGAACGGATTCCTGAGGACTGTCCATGGAGACCCCTTAGCCAGAGATGCCATGGCTGCCTGTCCCTGTGGGCTTCAAGAGAAGTCCTGTGCCTGGGAAGGGCTATGATCCCCTACCTAGCCTCACACTGTGGCCCTTTGCTCTTTCCTCACAGCGAGACCTCGATTTCACAGTAGACTTGGATTTTAAGGGACAGCTGTGTGAAACATCTGTATCTAATGACTACAAAATGCGTTAGCACATGTGGGAAGCTGCAGAAAGCAAGCGAGAAGAGGCACTCACTTCAGCCTGCCACGCTGCCCAAGGAATACTGTTAGGAGGACCACACTCGACAACCAGAGCTTTCCACTCTGCCTTGAAGATTGGTGAACTTGCCAGGGCTCTCCGGAGCCCCACCATGACGGGGAGCCTCCAGCTCCTCTGCTCTGCCCCCGGAGCCCTTCACAAAGGCTTTGTTGTCGCCTGGTGTGCAGTGGTGGGGGCTCCGAGGATGGAAACATACCCATGTGCCCCCACTGTCCTCCTAAACTGACTCTATGGATCTTCCAAGTTTTGCATGCTGCAGACATCTAGGACAGATTGCTTCCACTAGAACCTGGAGACATAGTGTCTTTGATAGCATAAGCCAGATTTTCCGTCTGTGCAGTGGTGTATGTGTGTGAGAGTGTGTGTGTATGTGTGTGTGAGTGTGTGCGTGCGCGCACATGTGCTAGTGTGTGTGCACACAGCATATATATTAATTTCCTTGCCCACAAACATCTGTATATGCATGCATATACAACTAAGTGGGCAGACTTGGGCGTTCATTCTGAGGGGTGTGTGTGCATGTGTATGCGCGAGTGTGGATGTGTGTGCCTAGAATCTATATTACTCTCAGAGGAGGTTCTGTTGCTTTTGAATAGGAATTTGTTTCGTGATTAGTTTTCCCCATCCCCATCCCTTAACAGATGTTACGCAGCTATGAAACATTCTGTGTTCTAGCTCTGGTCTCGTTTTGACTAGACTGTGGCTCTGAATCCTGAGCACAGTACCACGGGCTCTGTGGGCGCTCAATAAACACACATGAGAACGAAGCAATATGGGATACCTGTGTTCCTGATGCTATGTGGGTGTAGGGGTGGGTGCAGAGGGTAGAGTGGGTGGTAGGAAGCCACAATGGGGCAGAAAATTGTGGAGTGCAGCCCCTGCCTGTGTTTATGTTTGTTCATTGGAAATAAGTTCCAATGGAAGCAGCTGGGAAGTTGAGTCAGTCCTGCACACCTTTCTGTAGATTGTCTAGGCTTGCCCTGAGGGGACACGAGAGTCCTGGAGCTGTGGAGGTGAGGGTGCTGGGGAAGGGGACAGGAACTGACCAACAGTGCTATACACATAGCCAGGAAGCTACTTGTAGTCTGAAGGCCCTTGTCTGAGAATGGAAACAGAATTTCCACAGGATAGAAAGACAGTGTGCTTTGTCAGGCTTGGTGGAATACTTGGTCTTTGTTTCTAGATTATTCTTTGGCCTCTGGACTATCACCTGTGTTGTCTCCCATGGGAGAGACATTCTAAGTGCTGGGAAGGAAAGGGGCCCATTGAAAGATGGAGTCCATTGTGTGGAGTGATGGTGCCCAGGAGAGGTCAGATGCAGAGGGGCCTTGGGCTTGGCTGTGCATGGGAGAGGCATGCTGGTAATAGATTGTTCCAGGTGGAGCTGCCTACATAGAGTGAGTTACAGGAGGTGGTGACAGGGACAGCATATCCTAGCACAACCTGACTCTAGGAAAGGCTCCCACAACCTTCTCCAGGACCCCAGGCTCCAGTCCCCTGAGTGCTCTTCTAGGGGGATTTTAACATTTTTCTCTACTTTCATAAAAACCAACCTAGAAGGACTATCTAGACAGGATCAAGCCTACATAAAGTCTATGGAGAGTCCTCAGATAATGACAAATCCAATGGCAGTGTCTCTTTTGTTTCTAGATCTCTCTGTTATGAATCTTGACAACTTCCCCAAAACCTTGGGAGATAGATGCAAAAGCCTCATCACCCACTTTGTAGCTGACAGATATTGGGACCCAGGGAGGAGCCACAGAGTCGGTGCAGAGCTGGAGCAGGCTCCAGACTACTTCCACATGTCTTTCCTGCCCTAGGCTGGTTCTTCAGAGACTTGACCTTAAGTATGAGACCCTCATTGTGTTTAGAAAAAAAAATCAGTGAGAATTATATAATAATTTAATCTGCATATACCAGATGAGAAAAATAGAGAAACTTAAGGGGAGGGCAAAACCTTGAGTTAGAAAAAGAAATTTATGAAAAGGGGCATTCTGAGGGCATTGGAGGGAAATCTATTAGTGAGCTTCCATTACCAAAGCTCTTGGAGAGGTCCTATGTTCTGCCTACTGTAAGGGGCCCAGCCTTGAATCCCACTTACGGGGGATGCCTGCAAACAGGGCAAAGTCCCAGGTTGCCAGAAACTGTAGGAGTCAACAGGTTGACCATCTTGTGAGAGTTACAGGTATCCATGACACCATTTCATCCTCTCCAGCTGTCAGAGACGAGGGCCATCCCAGTCTCCCCTCACCCCCAGTCCTCATTTTCAGCCTCCTGGGACTGCCCCAGACCCTGTTCTGTGGCCATCACTCTCTGCCCATGGACCCCACAAAGGATTAAAATGACAGCTCTGTCCCCTCCTGCTACTGGAAGTCTCCAGCGGGAACTGTCCAAGTTTTTCTTTTGTTTAGGTTTTGTTTTGTTTTATTTATTTATTTATTTGTTTGTTTGTTTGTTTGTTTGTTTGTTGTTTTATTTTCTGATTCAGTGAAAACAAACCATATCTGCTTTGACTGTGTTCTGAATAGAAGTCAGGGTCTAAGACACAGAGATGTTGTAGAATGTATGTCCCTTCAGAAGCTCACCCCTCACCCAAACTCATTGCTTTTGTTGTTGCTGAGACTGCATTAGTGAGCCCATTAGTGGCTTTCTCTGCTATCACTCTTCTGGAGAACTTCTCACAGATCCATGAGCATGGATCTGCACTGCCTCTTTTGCCATTGTGTGTGGTGGATATGGTCGAACATGGGCCACTGGGCATACTCTGAAGTCCAGGTTTGGAAGGTCTCTCTCCCCCAGGTAGACTACAGGCTCGGAGGATGTGACTTCTGTGAATGAACTGAGTATAGAGCTAGGGGGATCAGGCCAACAGCAGAGCTGAGCAAACCTCATTCCATGCAATGTTTCCATGGGCCTGTCTAGTCCTTGGCCTTCCAGTCCCTTGAGATACTGACATTTTCCTCACTTTCTTAAGTAAGATGGTCCATGGAAGCCATCTTCCCTGGAGACTATGGGCCTATGGGCAGATATGAAGCCTTTGCCAGGCCTACCTAGTCTCCACCTCTATCGATCTATAGCCGGCCTCTCATGCTACCCCTGGTACTCCATCTGCAGGCACTGCCCAGCTCCAGACCTCAGCAATGGCATGGGATGTCCCCAGGCATCTTAGCCCATCCTCAGTGGCTGGACTATGGTTTGTCTCCAGAGAAACTTGTGTGGCTGCTTGGTCCCTAGTGAGCTAGTGCCGTATGGTAGGTCTCAGTGGGAGAGTTTCACTGTGGGACTGTAGCCCCTGTGAGAGGACTGATGCTTTTCTCAGGCCGGTGAGTCCTTGCTCTCACCGAACTGGCCGGTTACAGTGGAGCTGGCTGATGCGAAGCAGGGTGGAGGATGGCTACTCATGCCTCATCCCGCTCTCACCCCTGCTTGCTCCTGTGCTGTCTTTCATGGACTAAAGCAGCATGAAGCCCTCACCAACACCATGAACTTCCCAGCTCCCAGAGCCAACGCCGAAATAAACTAACTTTCTCTCTCTTTCTTTCTTTGCATTACCCAGTCTCAAGTATTTTGTTATAACAACAGAAAGGGACTGAGATACCATCCCTGGGTCATGTTCAACTTGCTTGGAGTACACTTCCGACCTGGAGGCCAGTTTGAATCACTGGTATCTGTCTTGTCTTGATTGCTTGTCTCAGCCCCACCCCCAACCCCAGGTCTCAGAGTCTAAGAGTTCTCCAACTTGTTTATAAAATACCTTTTTCTAAGACCCTCAACAATTCCAGCCTGGTTTGTGAAGCCTTCTTTCTAAAAGAACATTTTTCTTGATCCTTGCTACCTGTCTGTATGGGACCTTGAGCATCTATTCCTCAGACATCTTGTTTCTGAGCACAACCCTACTTGGTTATGTGTGTATGGGGGGGCACTCTGGCTTGCCTTATACCCTTGAGCTATCAGCTATCACACTAAACTCGGGGTCTCTTATCCTGTGACTTCCAAGATAAGCCTGACTTCCAGTGGCTGTAGTCTGTTCTTGGTCAGGAGCTTCCAAGGTCTCTGGCCCAAAGGAAATCATCAGCTTGCACTCCGCAAAGACTCAGACACAGTGTATCCACTAATCAAAAGATTATCCAAGAAACACTTATTGGATAATGGGCCAGGATAGGATACTCCGAACCCCTAAGTCAACATGCACTTCATGGAACTCCCTCACCATGTTAGTCTCTGGTAGATTTGATTAGCTCTTGTCCAAATCCTGAGAAATAAGGTCATTCAGCTTTCCTTCATGCTGACTTAACTGAGTCCCCTAGGTCTGTGCACACCCCCTCCCACCCCCAGCCCATGAGTGTACTCAGCTCTCAGCCCCTGGGCAGAACAGGTGTGAGACACACTTCCTTAATGTGCTCATTATATGTCTCACCGCTGTGACAAAGCACTTGGCCAAAGTCACTTAAGGAAGGGTTTCTTCTGGCTCACATTTCTAATGCACAGTTCATCATGGTAGAAGACAGTGGCAGAGGTGTGAACAGTTCATCATGACAGGGAACAGTGGCAGGGGTGTGAACAGTTCATCATGGCAGGGGAGACACCATGGCCAGGGTATGAGGTGGCCGGCCACATTGCATCCACAGTCAAGCAGAGGGAGATGGATGCTGAGACTCAGATTGCTGTTTCAGCCCAGGACTCCAGCCCATGAGGTGGCACTACTCACATTGAGGCTGGGTCTCCTTGCCTCAGTTAAATCTTTCTGGAAATATCCTTAAAGACACAGCTAGAAATATATTCCCATGGCGGATTCTAAATCTAGTCAGGTTGACCGTGAAGATCAACCATGAGACTTACTTCATCTCACTCAATAGGCCTTCAGAAACATGCATGTTCAGATCTCCCCGTGATCCATACAGCCCATGTCCCAGCCCATCATTTAGAGACCCACAGTGATTCTATACGCCAGCCGCTGGCCATTCCTCGCAAGACGTGTGCTAAAGCAACTTTATCAAACGTCTGCCAGCACCTTAGCCCCAGGACAGCCAGGGAAACAGGGCAGAGAATCCTCTCTGTGTGCTGGTCCCTAGACTCACACCTCCGCTGTCCCCATTTCTGATGGTAGCCATTAGTTGGTGGACAACCCTGCCCAGGACATGAGTCAAAGGACCCAGCAAAATCCCGGCACTGCTGCTGGCTGGTGAAGTGGCTTTCTAGAAAGCCATCACGCCCCATGCGGCTCTAGAGCAGTGATCCTCCACCTTCCTAACGCTGCAACCCTTTAACACAGTCCCTCCTGCTGTGGTGACCCCCAACCATGTAATTTTTTGTTGCTACTTCGTAACTGTAATTTTCTAGTTATGGACTGTCATGTAAGTATCTGTGTTTTCCAATGGTCTTAGCCAAGCCCTGTGAAAGGGCCGTTTGATCCTCAAGAGGTCCTGGGCCCACAGGTTTCGAATCTCTGCTCTAGAGCTTCACCCTTGGCACAGGAGATGGCCAAGGATGAAATGAAATCATATAAAGCATTCCTGGAACTTCAAAGGCAAAGGAAACTCCACGTGTTCCCACTGTCCTGGTAGAGATGATACCTGGTATAACATCCTGCTACCAAGACACGCCCTCGATGCCAGTCCCGAGGCCTAGGCTCATTGGGTCTGGAAGGGCAGCAGGCATTGCAGCAGAACTCCGGTCAGTGGCAGCTGAGGTTCCAGGCTGCAGAGTTCGCCTAGTGTTTGGGGGTCACATTCTGGAGTGAATCAGAGCTCTGAGCAGGAGTGGCCTG